AATTTCAAAATGAAAATTGACTTGTTCAGCACTATAGTGCTAGTCAAGGGAGTCAACATTTTTAGAGTTATTATTTGACACTATTTCCAGAAAGCAGAAATGTTTAGACAATAAGGCACTGAAATTTTAAAAATTGACTCAAAAGCCTGTGTATGTTGAGAAATGCTTTTTCCCCTTATATACAAAGACATTAGGCACCGTTCACCCAGGGAGGAGACGCCCTTCCTCTCGTTGGAGATTCCCATGCAGAGGAGCAGGGGCTAGATTTACACTGCTGGCCTCGCTCTATCTGCACAGACGTTCTTTCCAGGGGAAAGGATGGGTTTGAGTTAGAGAGCTTGCCGTGCTTGGCGCTGCTCCTCCTTCATTTTTCTGCTTTGGAATCTGCTTTCCTGCAGAGATCAGACATCCACCTCTGCCCTCCATGCCTTATACTCTACATTTGTCCTTGTGTCATCGGTGATGTCTATGACTTGAGGCTGAGTGTGATTCACTGTGGAGTTTACTATTAGAAATCGCACTCGGCCCACATCTAAACTATGGCCACCAATGGAATATTACCAAAAAGAAAGTAATATTTTAATCCCAAATCATCTCTGGCACAGCACAGATTTGAAATTCCTGGGTTTAATATATGCAGACTTTTTTTCAATAAATATGTTCAGTGTTGTAAATGTATATTTCTCTTATGATTTTCTTAATGACAATTTTTCTTTAGCTTACTTTATTATGAGTACAGTTATAGTACATAGAACATATGAATTATATGTTAACTGACTTTTTATGTTATATGTAAGGTTTCCAATCAACAATAGGCTATTAGTAGTTAAGTTCTGGGGGAGTCAAAAGTTTCATGTGGGTTTTCAACAGCAAGGAGGGGTCAGACCGCTAACCTGTACACTGTTAAGGGTGAAGTATATTGGTCTAATATAACTAACACTGCTGAAAGCAATCATGTAATCCAAGAGGTTGTAAACATTCTCCTACATTTGCTCAAGACTAGAGATATCACAGACATTTCTCTCAACACTCAATATCTTACTTATTGTCAAAGTCACAAAGCTAAAACTATTCATATCTTAGGGATATAAGTAAAATGTAAAGGAAAGTTAAATGAAAAGTTAATTCAGAAATATCCCAGCTACTCAACCACCTTATAAGTGCATTTTAATCAATGCATAGGTGCATCAATTGTACCTGTATAAATATATGCTCTCTTATAACAGCAAAATGTTAACCTGTTATTAATGATGCATTTACCTGAATCTTCTGCAGAGCCTACACCAACTCTCCTTTACACATGGTTCTGTGGTGTCTGAATCTCATGCATTTTCTCTTTTTATAGATATAATTTCATCTTACACGCATTATTCATACAATGTTCAAGGAAATATGTGTGGTGATTGCTGATACAGAGTGATAAATTTCAAATATTATCCTGCTAACCATATATTCATGCAGAATCTTATCCATTTGCAGGCCATCCGTCCATCATTGTTTTCTGTTTCCCTATTTTATACTGATTTTTTACTCTAAATATATGTTTTATAATTCTTATGTAGAACTGGAGGTGAAAATAGGATGTTTTATAGCATACAAAGATGTAGCACCCCAGATGGTTGACTATGTACAGAAAGAATGCACAATCAATATACAGGTGGGGAAATTCTGAAGTTGATAGAGTGAATCCAGGCCAGCCTGGTATCTACTAACTGGACATTTCTCATGCAGAAGCTCTTATAGTGACATTCTTATCAATACTGCATTAAATAGAATGTAAAGGTAATATGTTCGAAGGCCAGATATCACATTGAGCCCAGGTACTATGGATATAGATATAATTAGGCAGTGACTAAAAAGGGGAGTACTTAAAGTGTGTAGATATAGCTTCAAAAATATGCAAAAGTCAATGAAAATGTAGAGTTAATATTATGGGAAAAAGGTGGAAAGTTTGATAATATCAAGGCATAGATAATATGAAAAAATAAAATATAATTTACAAAACTGGGAACTGAAAAACATATTTGTAAAAATACAAAAATGTAAAATGTAAATGAAAAGCTTAGGATTTATTGTTAGGATGTAAGTGATAAAGATCAAGTCATTGTACACATGTCAATGGATTTTCCTTCATCTATGGTTACTTAATGGGAATCTATTAGTAACTCAATGAAATAATAAAGCCAAAAGGAAGCAGTTTGCTTTTATGATAGTGAAGAAGAAAACAAACAAGTAAAAAATTTTTTTCTGGATTGGGATTTCTAAAATCATTTTCTAAAAATTCTTCATGGGGAACTAATATATGAATTAAGCAAAACAAAACACCCAAATACAGGATTTCAGGGAGAGGATTTGGAGATATATATTTTTTCAAATATAGTTTGCATTTGATACCATTCTGTTTTAGTCCAGTTGCACAACATAGTTGTTTAGAAATCACATACTTTACCCAGTGGTTCCCCTGATATATCAAGTACTCGTTTGACCCCATACACAGTCCTTACAATATTATTGACTATATTCCCTATGCTGTAATTTACACTCCTGTGGCTTCTGTAACTAACAATTTGTACTTGATTCTTTCAGCCTTTGCAACCAGCTCCCACACCTCTACCCCTCTGTTAATTGTCGGTCTGTTCTTTGTATCTGTGAGTCTGTTTATATTTTGTTTATTTTGTTCTTCAGTTTCCACATGTAAGGGAAGTCATATGGTATTTGTCTTTCTCTGACTTATTTCAGAGTGTTATATGATCTAGGTCCATCCATGCTGTCGCAAGAAGTATGGTTTAATTCTTTAATTCTGTTTTAGAACAATGATTTTTTTTTTTACGAAATGTGAAGATATGAATGGTCACTTACAAGCCACACAAATTTTCCATTCTCTTCCATAAAGTCCATCAGTATAAACAAGCTATGGTCCATCACCTGCAGCCTGTTAAATTGATATTACTGGAATAGGTATCAATTGCTTTTATATGTCAAGTACCGCTTACAGAAAGCTGCACACTCATCTAGTTATTTGTGCCCATATTTTGGGACACACAGATGAGGTCAAAATGATAGGACTTTAAGCAATGGGATCCCTGCAAGACTTTTCTTTGGCTCTTGGTTCCTGCTTGTAGAATCCTGACAAAATCACAGGCAACACCAGATCTACCTGCATCGCTGAGAGTCAGGTACTGGACTAACCAGGTTAAACGATCATTCTGGTATCTCACACTTAAGTTATTGTCTTCCAAACCCCTCAGTTAAGGCTGTTTTTATGTTTTGTTTTGTTTTGTTGGTATCATTCTACTAGGTGACTACCTGTCCTACTAGATTCCCACCCTCAGTAAAGTAAAAAAATAGTCACAAAACATATTTTAGCCAAATTGTATTCCCTAATATTTAGAATAATGCCCTCTGATACTGTAAACTCGGTGACTCTAATACAATTTTAAAGTATTTTTTTCTTCCATTTAAAATTTTTCTTTTCCCTTATTGCCTAAGAGTATCTTCTTAAAAGGTGGTAGTCACACTAAAAATGCACTCTGAGAAGAATGGAAATATAAATTGCCTTTTGACATCAGTGATTTTCTGCACCGTCTCCATCTGCAATTCTTTCCACTTGAATCCATATTAAAAGATTGGAAGTGTGGGGGTGGGAGAGGAGGTGGATGGAAATTATTCTCTGAGCATATTTATTATGCCAACAATGCAATTAATTCATCTTTGATGGTATGCAATTAGGTATTAAAATTCCTCATAACTAGATATGTTCTCGGTCAGTTGGAATTACTGTAGATAATTTCAGGTAACTTGGGAATAATTTGGCTAGCTGGAAGGCCTAAACTCACATATAAAGCATTCAGTTTAGGGAAAAATTGGTATGTTCTTCACATTAATTCTCTGCTTAACTATGTTGGAAAATGCAAGTTCCCATAAAACCTGAGGAGGAAACCAGTAATTCTTTTATATTTTAAAGTAAATTTGTGAAGGCACTATAGGGTAATTAAAAATGGCCCCCCAAATTATAGTTTTTCCAAGGGTTAATTATTCTTGCACAAAATTATGAGATTTTATTTATTATACATTATTGGTTTAATTTAGATTCCTATTCCTATTTTTATTAGTTGTCCTTATTTTATTTTCTCTGATTTTCTTTCTCTTATAACAGTGTTGCCAAAGGAAAAGGGAGTTGGGGAAGAAGTAAACATGTTCATATAGTTGGATAGATTTCTCAAACATGTATGGCAATTCCACAATTCAAATTCTGATCATAGTCTATGTTTCTGGAGCACTTTTGGCATTGTATATGCTATCAAGAAAACTGTAACAGACTAGGGGGAAAATATATCAAACCATGTTAGGAGTAGATAGGTGTGGACAGAGAAAAGAGGAATTTCAGGGAGCAAAATGTCACGTCATTTTTGTTTCCATTTCCGCTATAGTATTTTGCTATAACTCAGTAAAAACTGCACTCACTGTCAATTGACAAGCCACAAGCAATTCATAAAGTGACAGATAATTGGGCAACAACCATTTCCTTTGAATTATGGATACACTTATTGTAGGCATTCTTCATGGGAGATATAACTATAATGGCAGTGAATATGGCTGGTGTGAGAAGGAAGTTGATAGAAAGCATACAGTATATAATATATGTAGACATTCTGTTAACACTAATCACTGGAAAAATGTTTGCTTCAAAAGCTATGTGATCCAATGTAATACTATGGATATTCTCTTAAAATATGTCCTTTTAAAATGGAAATAATACAGTCAACTCAATAACAAAAGCATATTTTAAGTTTTAGAGAGTCACTAGTTATTCTTTGGAGTTTTAAAGAATATTCCATTGTCAATCAAACAATAAAACATATAAAAGTTTTCCCATAAAATTATTAGGGAAACAATTTTAGTGACATGACTTACTCTGAACTGCGATACACATTAAACATAATAAAACAGAATCAACGAGAGAAAACCAATCAATCACACACAGGCTTGCTGATACTCACTTAGCATGACGAATATCGGGCAGTGATCTCTCTAGAGCAATATTGTTGCTGACAAAGATATTGAAGCCATTTTCCCTGTAAGCTGAGTCGTCATGGTCCTCTTCAGTGAGGGGGTAGGGTTTCCCGTGTTCACCTTTCCCTAACAGGAGAAAAGAAGATAGGATCGTCATCTGCATAAAAACCACTTCATCTGCTAACACAGATGATATGACTTGAAAGTATATCTTTAGTCACCTGCTGTATGCTCCACAGAAGGTTCTAGTATTAAGGTTTTGTTATACTATATCATTTTATTTATGAAGAAGAGATATACTCACAATAGGCTTTCAGTGTATGTTTCCTAATATTTTCATTCTGATTATAATATTTATACAGCTTTATAATTTGATTTTATACAAAATATGTGTGAAAAATTGATCTTTTCACTTACTTTCAATGGCTAATATCATTTCAATGGCTAATATCATTGTATCCCAACTTATACCATTCCACTGAAAATACACTTTACTTTTAATTTTTGCTATTATATGCAATGTTTAAATGAATATCTTTTTATATGTTCCTAATTATGTATTTTGGAGAAGGAAGGATAACTTCTACAAATAGAATTGCTAGTTTTCACTCATCCTTAGAAGCACTGAATAATATTTTGAAATGTACTGGTGAAATATATGTTATTCATACTTTAATATGCCTTTTCTTGATTACTAATGAAATTAATAATTATATATATATTTATCATTTCTATTTCTTACATTGCTAAATTATTGTTCAGTTTTGTGTGTTTTTAGAAAAATAATTTACTTTGCTTACTAAAATTCTGTTTAATTCATATGTTACAAATATTTTTAAGTTTATTAAATCGAAATCTAATTTAAGACTTCTCCTTTCTCATTCTGCATACCAGGGACTTGATATTCTGTCCTAACAAGCTGCACAGACTGAGCGACGAACTGCTCTGGGGTCTGAAAGAGAGGAGAGAACACAATACAAACCGCTGCCCCCCAAGTTCGAAGGGCAGGCAGGTGATTACAGGAAGTTGAGGCTTATCAGACACACTCGGGAGTGACAATGGCTGGGGAACTGGTGCCAGGATAGAAAACCCTGAACTGTAATTGATGTCGCTGGCCGCTCAGTGCAGGCAAGTCTGAGAGTTAAACACTCCAAAGGGAGGAACCTAGTGTGAGGAACCCCAATAATTTTGTGAGACTTACCTCCAGAAGCTCAACCAGACTCTGAGAGTAAATATTGAAGAAAAACCCTTTGTGCTTCCAGCAAGGGAAGGAGAAAAGGAGCCATTTTGAAGTAGGTCCAAAACCACTCTTCCTCTTAATAAGGCCTCTCCTCAGGAGAAACTAGTTAAGCAGAGTCTCACCTGTTGGGCCTTTATCAGAACATAACTAAGCTGGGAGACGAGAAAAGTCCAGACTAAGCACACCTGAGCTATCCCAGACAACCAAAGATGGAAGAAAAAAAAAAACCCTGAGAAAATGCTATGAAGTTCACAGTCCAGAGGCATAGGTGCGCTAAAAGCCTGATTATAACACTGTAGAACACTGCCCCTCCCACACCTCACCCTCACATTAATAAAGGCCTATCTACAGCAATTCATTGCACTCAGCACATCCTGTGCAACTGTCAAGAAAAAGTTACGAGGCATACCAAACATGACGAACATGATTTGAAGACACAGAGCAAGCATCAGAACTAGGCATGGCGGGACATGGGAATTAACAAACTGGGAGTGGAAGACAATTATGATTAATGTGCTAAGGGTTCTTTGAAAAAGTATATAGCAGGCAGAAATGGATCAGCAATGTAAATAGAAAGATGGAAATTTGATGAAACAACAAAAAACAAATAACCCCCAAATAAACAAGAAATGCTAGTGATAAAAACATTGTGACAGAAATAAAGAATGCTTTTGATAGGCTTATTAGTAGACTGGACACAGCTATCTAAATGACCTCTGACCTTGAGGATATACTATTAGAAGCCCAAAACAAAAAGCAAATAGAAAAAAAGACTATTTGGAGCAGAGTATTGAAGGACTTCAGGACAACTACAAAAGGTGTAACGTACATGTAATGTATGTTACATGTAATGTAATGTATGTATGTCTCCTTCCAGAAGAGGAAGGAAAAGAAAGGGACAGAAGAAATGTTGGAAACAACAATGATGGAAAAGTTATCCAAATTAATGTCAGATACCAAGCCACATATCCAAGAAGTTTATAGAACACCAAGTAGGATAAAGGCCAAATAACAACAAAAATATACCTACACATGTCATTTTCAAAGTAAAGAAAATCAAAGATAAAGAAAAATCCTGATAGAAGTCAAAAAAACAAACATCTAACCTACAGAGGAACAAAGAATTCTACCAGACTTCTCCCCAGAAACCATGCAAGCAAGAGGAAAATGAACAGAAATAAATACTTCAGAGAGAAAAACCACCAACTTATAATTCTGTACCCAACAAAATTATCCTTACAGAGTAAAGAAGTAAAGACTTTCTCAGACAAACAAATACAGAGGGAACTTGTTGCCGGCAGACCTGCTTTGTAAGGGTTATTAAAAGAAATCTTTGGAGAGAATGAAAATGATAGAGATCAGAATCTTGGGTCCACATAAAGAAGGAAAAGTACTGAAGAAGGAATAAGGGAAAATAAAATAAAAACAGAAACCTTTTTATTTTTCTTACCCTTAAATGCTATTATAGTTTGTTCAAAATTAATACTAAAAAAAAAAAAAAAGAAGGGGTTTTTGGGGGGCTTTTTTGGAGGGGAGGGGGGGGGGGTCAAACATGTATTTGATTATATATGCTTATGTATATAGCATGTATAGTATATACACACTTATGTATGCTTATATAAAAGTGAAACAAATGACAACAGTGAGGCAGGAACTTGGAGAAAGGAATTGAACTTATTTTGTTATTCAGTATTATAAGGTATTCATTCATACTGCCCATGAAGTAATATAGTGTTACTTGGAAATAGACTTGGATTAGTTGAAAATGTATGTTGCAAATTCTAGGGCAACCATTTAAAAAGGTTTTTTTTAAAAAAGGGTAACCAGTATGCTAAGAAAAAAGAGAAAATCATATAAAATTCCCAATTAAAACAATATAAGGCAGAAAAATAATAAAAAACAAAACCAGAACAGGAACGAGGGCCACAAATAGAAAAGAGTAACAAAATATGGTGGATATTAGCCAGTATCAATAATCACTTTGAATGCCGGTGGTCTAAATTTAGCACCAATTAAAAGACAGAATGTGTCAGAATTGATCAAGAAAAATCGAAGATTTTTTTCCCTCCACATGATTGTATTTTTTCTTTCATTGCTTCTCATTTACATATTTATAATAAGTTCTTTTTTATTCCAATATTATTTTTTTAATTTCATTCATGAATTCAGGGTTTAAAATTTTATTTTTATTTAATCCATGACAATTTTTGAACCATCTGAAACTTATTTTTCTGTGAGAAATAAGGAAACTCTCACATTTTTTTCCACCAATGGTTAGGTAGGTGTAGGAAAGGCATTTAATGAATAACTTGCCTTTTTCTTTCCTGCCTTTAAATGCCACACACAAGAGTTTTGTACCATTTCTGTGCCCATTTAGGAACATCCATAAGGAGCTGCTTCCGTTTCCTGTCAGTTCTTTCACTGTGATGCTGTGGCACAAATTCAGTTTGACAATTTGCCACCATGAACTCACCATATTCTTTTTCAGACTCTTATTGCACACTTATTGTTCTAGGTAAACTTTAGACTCATTTTACTGTTTAATTAAATCACCGCTGAATTTTTTAAATTTTATTTAGTTATTTTTCAAGTACATTTTTTTGTCTATTTCTCCCATCCCAGCCCCCCCGCCCTGTGCTCCCCTCCTAGTCCTCATCCCTGTGTCTTTCATACTTGTTCCTCAAAATCCCTCCCCTTTTTCCCCCTTAAATTCCCTTCCCTCTCCCCTCTGGTCACTGCCCACTTGTCCTCTATTTCAGTGTCTTTGTTTTTATTCTGCTTGCTTGTTTGTTTTGTTGTTTAGCTTCCTGTTAAAGGTGAGATTTTATTTTGGGATTATATTCATATATTAGTTCACCCTTGGAAAAGTGTTATTTTTATATATCTCAATTTTTCAAGGCTCTTTACCTTGCATGTGAGTGGAATTTTACAGTTTTCTTTATTTAAATCTTATGCATTTTTGTTAACTTTTACTAGGGATGTGTTTTTCTTCGCTGTCCTTTCTTTCACACACAGAAGCTACTCATATTTACATTTATTTGTCAACCAGTCACTTTATTGAACTCATTTTTTCTAATATATATATTTATCTCGGGTATTTTCAAGGTACACATAATTTTATTTCAAATAATAATACTTCTTTCCTCCTCTTTTCTTCCTGAGTGCCAGGTGTGAGCTTTCTTGTTTAATTCTATAGTTTACAGTAAATACCACTGGTGTTAGCAGGCATTGCTTGGGTAATGACTTTAAAGAGATTCCTGTGAAACGTTGCAAATGAACATTGTGTGCTGAGTATGTGTTTCTAAGTGTGTGTGTGTGTGTGTGTGTGTGTGTGTGTGTGTGTGTGTGTGTGGTACCAGTGTAAAAAAATCCTTTTAGCACCTGTTAACTGAAGGTTTATCATATATAGAACACATTTTACCAAATTCTTTTTCAAGAACTTTAGAGACTTACACGTTTCACTTGATTAAGCTTTGATTTTGCCATATTTTGTTTTTAATTACTGAGATTCATTTCAATGTTGTTAGTAAATTTGGCTTCTGTAGCCATATTCTCCCATATATGAAAGCTCTTCTTTCCCTCTGCCCCCTGACCAAATGACATTAACCTCAGTGAAGCTGACGGCCAAGATCAAACATCGAGGGACTGATAAGAGATTATACGCTCCAGAAGCACACAAACAATCTCTCCAATTTAAATGGAGAAAAACAAACAAAAACTTAAGTGTTTCACTTTGGACATCAAAAAGGGAAATAGTGGAACTTACCTGTTTCCTTGTTTTGATTTCTTAGAAAAAAATGCCACTTATTTTTACAAATTAAATATAAAATAAATAAGTCTGAAAATTTTCATTTGCATAACAGCTAATTTTTGAGCATCTATTATG